GAGTACCCCCATTATAAGCTAAAGTTTTAACGTGCTACTGTATTTAGTCACGAATGTATAAATTATTTTAGCACCTTTAATTGAAGTTATTTTGAAAACAACTTTGTTTTTTTAACTTTTTAACAATTTAATAGAACAAATTATTCCAAAAAATTGCACCATTTTTATATTTTGTGTCCTCTAGAAATTAGACATTGTCCTGGAACGGAGGAAATGGCGGTATTGCAATGTTGGACTCGATCTCTTACTCATTTCCGGAGAGGTGGTGACTAAACGACAGAACGACTTGCCATTGTGCAACCCAAAGCAGACAACGACGACCCCTCCTCCCAACTACACCCGAGGTCACTGTGACGACCCCCTTCCAACTACGCCCGAAGTCACAACGACGACCCCAACACACGGAACAGACAACGCAGAGTAGTGTCACCTCAGTCATCCCGACTTCGATCGTGTTCATCTGTTCAGTTATCGCAAGGATGGGCCATTTTTAAATACTTGATTCAATTTAGTTTTTCGCTAACAAAAGTTTATTTGAGGTTAAGAATTGATTTTGTATTATTGGTGCAAATAAATATGCTACATAAAGGGTGTTAATAAAGTCCGATCCCATGCATTTTTTGGAGCGTGGTTGTTACAAATTCAGCTGGAACTTTTGAACCAGTGAAGTTATTTATTTCAAATTTTTACCATGGGAGGAACAACTAAACGTGTAAGTCATGAGCATCTTAGAGTTGAGATACAAACATTGCATCAGCAGGGGCTTAAACCTACAGAAATTGTGCAAAAATTGGGCTGCAGCCGCAGAACTGTTTGGAAATGGAAGAATAAAAATTTTGTCCACGACAAAAAGCGACCAGGGCGACCCAGAAAGGTGTCACCTACCACAAAAAGAATGATTAAAAACAGACTTTGCAAGAAAACCGGTAGTTCATTACGTAATTGAGCAAGGGAGTTAAATGACTCAAAACGCTATAAAGAGAAGAAGAAGCAAATTAACTGTGTGACCGTGCAAAAATTTGTGAAAACTACGAAGTGGGGTCACACAGCTTACAAACTAACCAAAAAAACCTCTCATGTCACAAAAATATATCGATGACCGTCTGAAATTTGAAGAACTCCTTCAGAAAAGTGCCCATTTGAGTGAAAAAAGACTTGGTGAAGAATTGCGCAGTCACATCCTTTGGACTGACGAATCTATTATTGAACTATATCCAAAATTGAACCAACAAAATGTTCGTTACAGGACAGAAAACAAATCGGATGTACCATCAAGAGCGATCCCAAAATTCGGGCTTAAAGTTATGGTAGCGGGTGGATTTTGTGCACGTTGCGTGACCCCTCTACATATATCATACCAAAAGGCCAATCAGTCAATGCAAAGCATTATATGGAAAAAATATTACCTATCTATTTCGATAGCATGGGGAACAAGGAAATATTTCCGAATGAAAGAAAAATAGTTTTCATGCAGGATGGTGCTATAGCCCATACAGCAAAAGCGAGTTTGAGTCTCATCAAGACGCAAGTTTCAACGGTCTGGAGCAAGGGGGTGTGGGCCGCTAACGGCCCAGATTTGAATCCCCTGAAGAACCAGTGGTCCATACTTAAGGAAAATGTATACAAAGAGCCACAACCCCGGACGAGGGAAGAGCTAGTAAAAAAAAGTTCAAGATGTATGGAATTCGATTTCCAGAGGCACATTGGAAAAATTAGCACAGAGCCTTAAACAAAGAGTTGAGGGCATGGTTAAAGTAAATGGTAACAAGACCAAATACTAAGGTAAATATGTCGAACATTTTTTGTAAGTATCACGGGTAGTTTTTTTTATACTAGCCTTCACTTTTTTAAGGAAAAATGGGATCGGACTTTTTAACACCCTTATTTAGTTTTAATTTATTGAAACTTCATCATTTAATTAAATACAAAAATTGGATAACGTAAATTTATTATATCTTAATAATAAACATAAGAAATTACACGTAGTAAGTACACTGTCACCAAGCAAGAGCTTTGTTTCCAATACGAATAACAATAGTGTAACATACAAAACAAAATTCGACTCAAATCTCAAAATTTTTGAAAATTCTAACACTAACGAGTAACAACAGGGTCTTATCAGGTTTACCATTTAGGGGTGTTGCTTTTGTACTCTCTTGATTACTGGAGATGCTCGCATTTCTTAATATCTTATTACTCTATAATATAGAGTCTATATCAGTACACGTAGTGCGTTGTGCCTCTGCTGCATATTTATGTATTGGTATGCGCCTCAATCCATCCATCACCTCTGTCCTTAGAAACTGAAACGATGTGTTCGAAATTTGAAATTCCGATTGTTGGCTCTTTGAAGCCAGAAAATGAAATTGATGTCCCCAGATATAATTACGTAAAATGATATTAGATACAACAACCATTATTCATGTGAAAAACATATGTATGCATCTCGATGGGTAAATTAATGCCGATATCCTATCGAACACGACTGCCTTCGCCTTGTCAGTTCCATCCGTCCCTCTGCGATATCAGTCACATAGAGATTCTAGATAGCTCGAAATCATTTTTTGTCTCCATTCTCTGTGATTTCCTATCAAGTCCTCTATGATATCGATCAAATGTCTCTCCTTAAAATCCAGACTAATTTGCTTGAGCTTATGATTTAATAGTGTACATTCAGCATGCCTGGAATTTCTTACATGAATTTGGAAGTGTTCTCCCCACTAATTTTCAAATGTTCTCTGAAAACAGGGAAAATTCAATTTTTTCCAATTTTTTTGCTACACTGAAGGTGGTCAATATTAAATTGAATTCTGTTAATTATTTGATTTCTATGATTATCATGTGTAAAAAGTATGATTTTAACTTGCTAAGGTCGATGTGATGTAAATTGACTGATTTGAGTAACATCATCGTTCATTTTATCATTATTGGCTCACCCTGCGTAGCACGGGAGCTATTGAATTCTCGTGTCCGTCTGTCTGTCTGTGTGTTCACACTAGTTTTTTGCATCAATTGATGCTAATTAATAAGTCCCTGCTCCAGTTTTACAGGACTACTGGTATCAAACAATCGTTAATGCAAATGGTGCAAGTTAATTCAGCGAATAGATCGAGATAGGACTATAATTTTGGAATACGTAGCACCGTTAGTACGCGAGCAATTGGTTATTAAAAATAATGCGTACAATTAGGCCATCTATTCCCCTCCAAAAATTATGTCAAAATTCTGTTCTATTTGTTCGATTATCTGAACCATTGGCGCTAAAATATATATAAATTTTACAATAAATAATTGGGAACTGGAGTACTATACGCATCAATAATGCAAAATGATCCCGTTGGTCGCAAATATTGCATAGTGGTGCCAAATAATGCCGGATTTTAAAAAAAATATTTTTCCGTTTATATTGCACTATTGGTGCAAGAATCTATGAGAGTTGTAATCTATTTTGTCGACTTATTCGTACCTTTGGTGGAAAGTTATATGCAAATCATTATGACAGGGTGAGCTACTTCTAACGTTACTACGGTTTATTAATAATTTTTAGTTGAATATCTGTCCCTATTGAAAAAAAAATCAGTATTTTCTCCAAGTGTTCTCCCCGCATTGCGGTTGGTGGGGTAAGAAATTCCAGGCATGGTACATTGTAGACTACAATTTGTAGTAGATTACATTACACTGACCTGACTCACATCACACCTAGCACAGTTTCTGCATGCACCTCTACATTTGATGCACGTAAAAGCAGTAAAATTACTCCTTTTAACCATTTGCTAATTCCCTGCATCGTGGATCCTAGCGCCCGCGATTTTCCATCGGTCCTCTGCGATATCGATCACATACAGATCCTAAAAAGCTCCGATATGTATTTTCCAAACTTGTGACATTTGTACATATTTTTGTCTGACCAAAAGATTACATTTCTCTAGTCAAAATTTGTCTATACTGAACATTGAGCTAAAATATTTTGCTTGATGTGCAGCAGCAGCTACACAAATAAGATCTTTGCATACACACGCATCGAATCCCTGGCTGCAGCGACATATGTACAAATTTATGTATGTACATATGCATAGATATGTACATATTTGCAATACAATGAGAAATTCCATTTCAATGAATCTCAAGCGGTAATAGATACATAATTTTTCGACTGATTGTGTTTACAGATCTTGTTTAACTGGGCTACAATTATTACTGCTACGATTTTAGATAATTTTTGACAGATGACCAAAAGAAATTACTTAAAAACTAACATTAAATGAATTAGTCAAATTACGCAGTCTTTTCATTTCGCAAGTCTAACTTGTAGATGTTGGGTGTCTACGTTTAGGTAATTTGGGCAAATAATTTCTTATCCAAATGTGTGGAAAAAGTCAGGTAAATGTGTTGAGTGATTTATAATATAGTAAAAATGTACGAAGTCTGTTAATCCTTTCACGTTCAAATCAAATCATAAATATTCATGCTGCATAAAATTAGGATGGCAATGATCACTTGAATGGTTGCGGAAATAACTTCCCGGATTTTGCCCGACTTTCACCCGTCTTCCAAAATAAAAAACTTTTTGGTCATGATGAAGTACCCCATTTTCAAATCTGTCAAAAAAGTAACATTAGAAAAAATGTTTTGATATTCACATAGCTTTTATGATGTAGAACATACAGTAAGAAGTGAAATTTACCTGGTGACACTTGTTGGTGTATGTCATCCAGAGTGTTTGGTATTTCCAAGTCGGTTGACGAATATGATTTTGGTTGCTAGCAAAAGATTACATATTCATTAGTTGCATTTGCATGACTTCATCGCGTCAGGAATGTACACTTTCATAAAAATTGAAAGGTACGACAACTAATTAGCTGGATGATTTTACTATTCTGCAAATTCGAGACTTTGAGAGGCATGTGATCGATAGGGTCAAATCGTCGGAGCAGATGCTTTATGTACATGCGGTCCCTGACTAAAGTACAATGGGTAACTAACTACAATGACCTTGACACTTACAACATATTGATGAGAAATAGCACTGCGAATGTGCTCGGGTAGTGGTGGTTCGTGTCAAACTGGATAAACTGCACAAGGAAACATCAATATTATGCAAGGAAAATATATTTTATATAACATGTTCGGTACAAACCTTTCTGAGCTTCATCCTACCAATTATGTCACTCTTAAAAAAATGGAATTTTCGAAAGTATATATTTTTATACTTTGAGAGATGCAACAAGTAAAAATCCAGAAAATGTGTCCAGTTGGCCGATGCGAGTGATGAGGAGTAAATACGAGGAGAGATAAAAACGGCGTCCTTCCCGTCCGAAAATATGTAGAGGCAAAAATCCTATAGAGATGCGTGGGCATAAATTATCAATTTATCGAGTTTCTCCCAGCAAAGATCTTTCGCCAATGTCGACCCAGTTCTGTCCTTCCGTTCGGCTTTCTTTCACTCAAAACTTGCTAAATGTCGGCCTACCTCGTCCATTTCGCAGACCGAGTTCGTTAGCAACAGGTTGGCAACAACTCGGACCATCCATTATTTTCAACTCCACTTTCACCTCTCATCCCAGATTGTCACTCCACCAAAGAATTCATACTCACTACATTCCTACATGAAGATGAGATTCTCTACCTCAGCTATGCAAATATGCACGAGAAATAAAGTTGGATATTAAGCATCAGCTTGAGCATGTCTTTCATAGTTTTTCACAACACTCTGCCCTGCACGTCCCCGTTGACATGAAAATCTGGATGTAAACGTTTGTCATAGATACATATCTCTCTGCCTTAGTTTTTTCAATTAATATAAATCATCTTTTAACCTTTGTGCCATACATGCTAAATGTTTTAATCTACATCTTACATGTTTTATGTGGACTATTGTGGACATGAGTCACAGCAAGCTGTGACTTGGGCTGAGACCAGAAATTTTTCATGAACCTACATATGGGTCCCAAAGTTTTACAAATTCTGCAATTATCTCACTACGAAATTCCGTTTTTGGGAACATCTTAGTTTAGTCACAAACAACCTCATGTAAGAAAATCGTTAGAAACCTGTATACCTTCTCATTAAAGAGTATTAGTATGTTGATGGTTCAACCTATTTTAGAAATAATTTTTAAATGTGCTTCACATATAAGGTAACATTTCTTAGTTAACATTTTAAAATTTGTATATGCAGTTGCTTTCAGTCCTTGAAAAAAACAAGGTTTGAATGTATGTAAATGGAGTTATTGCCATTTTAATGCAACCTATTTGCTCTATAATTTGCTTATATTGGTCTTTTTCTATGTCAAATCATATTAGATCCTTACTCAATATTTGTTCAGAATCCCATCCACTATTTTATTTAACTCTTTATGCAAGTGTGTGATTTGCAATAATTAATTATACCAGGATAAAATTATCGGTCCAGTGTGTAACTAATTCGTCTGAATTTATACGGTGATCTTTACCCGTGCCATGTGTGTGATTGCATGGTCTCTGGTTCGATCCGTGTACGTGACAAGTAAATCATAAATGAAGTGTAAGTTGCTAATTATTTACATATTCTTCTAGAAGCGTGGCATTTACTTTGAAATTAATTAAAAACGACACTAGTTGATATTTGATGTGAGCATCCAAATACTAATCAAATCTAGTAAATAAGTAAGCTTACATCACATCCTTTAATTACATATACATACGTCTAATTTAGAATTGATAAGCAAATTTTTAATGCGTAGTTGCGGCTTTGCTAAAGCGATACGAGAACAAAACACTATTCTCAAACCGGATTAAATTTGTTATTATTATTATTCTAATTTTATTTCGGGAATAAATAGCAGACGACGCTGGAACGGACCGGCACAGCGTCTTCTTTCGTTGAGCTGGTAATGATAAAATCTAATTACATAAAGAATACTGGAAATCAACTTTGAAAAGGTGCATATTTTTGCAAAATATAAATTAAGAAGAAATACATAGCTAACAATGGTTGAATTTTAGTAGGGATGAGCCTGTTGAAGCGTCATTGTGGACCACCATTTGGAATTGTGGTTATCCTTCACCGACCTCCAGTTCCAGCCGTGTCATTCTGCGGACCGATTAGAAAACCAGTTTCGAGCGAAGGGTCGAAATCGCATTTCCATTCGTGGAGAGAAGGAAGCTTGAAGCAGGTGAAAATGAACAAGGCCGAGTATCAGGAGTGGATCAAGGGAAAGTAGTCGCCCAATAGGGAAGACTTTCCACTAATTTAGAGATTGGATGACGAATTATGGACTAGTTGAAGTTTGAATCATTCAAACGCTACAATACTTGTTCTGAAATTTTATGTTCAAATTTAAATTATGGAACTGTTTGTAATTAACATATTTCGCATGTTGGTTTCAAATAGTTTCTAAATAAATGTATTTCAAATTGAAATTTTTTCATAAGTTGGCATATTATTTTATAGACATTTGAAGTGTGACAAATTTTTACTTTGTTTCTGAATTTTTTACAATTCATGCTAATTTATCCTCAGATACTTATGTACAAGCAGTATGTCTCCTTTCATATCAGAACAGAAACAATAAGGTGAAATTTCCCTATCTAAAAAAATCGATCGATTGCATAAAAGTTAAAACTTTTTGAGAATAGAAAAGTATCTACTTTTGACCTTCTTGAAGGGCAAAGCACGACACCACTGAATGACCTTCCACAAAGTTTCGGGTTTAGAGTATTTCATATTTATACAATCATTTAGTTATCACAACCACATGTACTTATTTAAATAGAAGTTCAAATTTCGAACAGTGGGTGCATAAACATGGTAGCAAGCGGATTCTTAAGTATGATATGTGTAGATTATACACATATTTAAATAGTTTATCTTAAGCCAAAGTTAAAAGATGAAGCGCAATTACAATCAGACATGAGATATGCTATTGAGTCTGTGTGAACTATTAGTTCTGCTCGTCAAATGCAACGTCTCGTTCTAATGATTTGCAATGCACTTTACTGATTAAAATAGTACACTTACAAGTATTGTATTCTTTCGTTACATAAAATTCGCAAATTTTGACCAATTTCCAACATTTGTTGGTGTATGCACGGAAGTTTCTCATTAAATATCATGATACATGCATACATATATACGCAATCAGTCATGTAAATTTAGAAAAAAATGATATTACTCAAACTACGAAATATCGATTATGTTCAAATACACAAGTGCTTGCACACGCAACTTTCGCGAACTTAACTTTGTCCTTCTCGCCAATTTCAAGGAGACGCCATCGACACCTAAGCTTCAGTGGATGGCCAGTCGGAATCCATACCCTCCACTGCATCCGCTTATGTCTGCATTTTTAAACCGATTGATTAAGTCGTAGGCAAATTTAAGAATTACAAAAATTTTCAATTTCACAGAATGAAGTTCACCTTTGACATCGACATAACATGTTTTTCCATTCGACAAATGAAATTGTTAGCAGCGGTAAGTGATTCGACATGTAATTAATTTTATGTTCATTTTAAGCAATCAGTTCATGTTTAAAATTAATTTTCACAGATCCTCGGCATACTTATCGTCTCGCTGGTCCAATTCTGCTGGAGCGGTCCACCAACAATTTTCTTTTTCACGTTCACCCTTCTGTCACTCACTCTCACTTTGGTTCTGCTCCTGGGGGAGGCGTGTCGGTGGAAAAGATACTGTTCTGATTTGGACAACGTTGTGAGTATTTAACACAAAATCATGACACATTTATGTATGTACATGGGGGAGGATATATCAAAATGGTGTATTTATTACTGTAAAGGAGCTGGGATTCTTCCTCTGTGGAGGATTAGCTCATATCCTGTGTGCCATCTTGATGGTCGCTCTGAAGGGCAACCGGTGGGAGGGGTCATATTCATATGATCAAAACACAATGAAGAACTCGATAACAGCATATGTTTCCGTATGCATGAAGAATCTAATTACCGCTAGCTTAAAATTTAACCATGCATCTTTAACTTTATGACGAATTAATTTCAGGTGATTGGAATACTGAATGGAATATTGTACCTGATAATTGCTGCTAGAACGTATCGGTGCTCAGGAACGAGGTCAGACAACGACGACTGTGAAGAACTGGCAGCCAGCAGCCCGATCCATGTCATCTACGGAATTGGGCGTACGGACACAATTTCGTCCGCACAAGTGGGTCCACCCCCACCGTACGCTGATGCAGTGCAAGCCCAACCTACGCAATTCATGTGATAGAGTAAAAGCTGCATTTTTATTTAATTTGGAGATTAATTACATGACACAATCAAGTTCTGGCAATTTGATCATTTAGTATTTTAAAGTAAGAACGCATTAAAAACAATGTCAATTTATTAGAAATATTGTCATTAGTTTTATGGAACTATTGTGAAAAGCTAAACCTTAATTACAAGACACAAGGTTATCATGTCTGACCAACCATCGGTCACAATGTGCGTCACAAAATTTAGCATCAACAACGCAAATTAGTCTTGCAATTATATTTGAATAAGCTGGCAAACGTGGTACAAAGAAATACATACGAATAAAATATGCATGATGATGCCTGCGTGAAAAAGTTTTGCATTCAAGAGGGGTTTGTCTGGACACGGAAGGTTCCAATTTAACGAGGATACATGGAAAATAAATTTGAGCCTATGTGACAATCATTTGTCTCGAAGCATATCTCAAAAATCGGTTGGGTATTGATTACACTCCACAAAGAAACCGAAGCCATTGGTTCAACTACATTGCAAAATATTTATTTCCCTACATACAGTAATTCTAAAGTAGTTTATGCTATCATCCACTTTCTAATGTGGGAGATTTTTACCCAAGTACAAAATTGCATACTTTGAGCAAAATAATATGTATGTATGTATTGTGCATTATTCTTCATATCTCGCCGAGTTTTGATTGACCAATTCGTAATTAGATTTTACAAATGAAATTAACATTTGAAGTGCATTTTGATTCCTACACCGTGCAACAAATGAAGTTTGTGACAGTGGTGAGCTTAAAATTTGACGTGTCCAGTTTATTTCAAATGGGTGGGTTAACTTTTAATTTTATTACAGGTTATCGGAGCAAACATCGTCACACTGATCCCATTCTTCTGGGAGGGAGCCTCCTCCTACACCGTCCTTTATTTTGTCGTCGCTGTTTTCTTGCTCATAATAGATTTCACTTTTCTCGTGGGTGATGCATTCATTTGGAAGATTTCATCCAGCGATATGAAAAATATGGTAAAAACAATTATCTTAAGAATTAAAAGTATTTATGCATAATTATTATGACAAACGGATAAGCCATTAATTTACTTGTTAGGAGATTGGGCTATTCACCTTTGGAGGATTAGTTCACCAATTATGTTCTATTCTGATGCTGGCCCTTGAGAGAGGAAAGAGCACTGATTGGAATGATAACAAGCATATGAGTTCTTTACAAATTTACGTCGCTGTAGGTTAAATTAATTTTATTAGGGGGATATTAAAATAATCAAAAATTACTCTGTGCTGGATACATGCGAATGGAATTCTTAATGGGTTCATACACTTGGCAGTTGCTCACGGAATTTACACCTTGGATCGTCTCTCCACCGGGAGGCCTGGCGTCAGGTCGGAAGAATCTGCAGTGGCGTGCTCATCAAGTCAAAGATATCGTGCTAGGAATATTGATCTTCTGTTGATTCGCCTACCCAGTGCTCCGCCGACATACTCGGATGCGATGCAAGATCCGCATTCGACAATTATGTAGATTTCAGTACATAGGCACATACATATGTAGACGTGGATTTTCAATTTTCTGAATTTAAGTGCATGTACGTATGTATTTATGACTTTTAAAAGTTTAGAGGATTTGCAGTTTCAGTTTTGCATGCATATGAGTAACTCGTAAGTAGCAATGCAGTAAAAGACGAAAGTCTTGAAGATCTCCCCTTTTATGTCAAGTTTGAAATCAATATATCATTAATTGATGCCATGCAAATATATAAATTATGTAAAGTGACATGGACAGATTATTTTATGATCTCATTTTCCAAACGCACTCCCATAAATGTCCTCGGCACCTCCACTTCCGGCGTTCTTGGCAGCACAGTCCTTGCAATCTGGTGGAGGGATGCACTTGGAAGTGTCGTCCACGGAATGCATGTCGGACGGGCAGACGTAAATGATTTGAAAGTACCCTCCCGTGACGGGATTAATCTTGCATTTCATGAAGTAATTGTTCTCTCCTTGGATGAGCATGATGCCTTCTTCTTTACAAAAAGGGGCAGTTATTTTGATTATCTCATCGGAGGAAGCCTGAGACGCAGGGTGGGCCGCTTGGGGATGAGCCTTGACTTTATTATGGGCCCGAAGAGCACGTTTCTGCAGAGTTTTTCTGTAAAATATGTATAAATGTTTGCAAAATAAGGTTGTCGACATAGATACATAAATTTATGCGCGTACTCAGCAAAAGTAGTGGGAGCAAGTCCAAGGCTTCTTTTTGCTCGGGAATTTTGACCAGCTTGGTTCCCATGATAACTTGATCCGGAGACAAATATGTCCTAACAAAGTAAATTTAATTAGTTGTATTTCCTCTAAAAATAAACTTCCCAAAGTAAATTGCGTCCCTCGAAGACGACTTACGGAAGACAATGTTATGACAACAAGGAAGCAAAAATATAGCGTCCAACCCATATTGACGGTGGTATTATAATGAACTTGTGGATTAGAAATGTTTATTAAGTATTTAATTTAATGGGGAACAAGTTTTTAAATCAATCTACATCCACACATATGCATGTAAAAGAATGCACTTTGCAAATTTGTGCTAAAACTTAATGTGACGTGAGTATGTAAAGTAATTGTTTTTAATGCATAAAGTTTTTATTGGCCGAATTACCATATGACTACGTCCTTGCAGAACAATCAATAGCTTACGGATCTTGCAGGCTTTCACACTTTAAGTTGTTTAAGTTCTCTTTGTTTCGATATATTTTTACATGTCTTTCATGAAAATATTAAAATAATACAAACTAAAACACTGCACATTTAGTGCATTGTATTTAGTGCATTGTAAGGCATAAGACAGCTCCGTACTGATATTACCTAATATATTTTTTTGTGTAAGGTACAGACGCTGCTTATACATACATACATCTGTACTTATAAACATATTTGCATCTGCATTTGACATCTTTATTTCAAAGAAAAATATATGAACAATGAAAACATACCTATTTAATACGCTAGAAAACGCTAAATGCATACATATATAAACATATGTAATTACTTATGAAGGTATGTGGAAATCAATTTGATTGGTAATGCCTAATTGCAGGTGCATGGTTTGGTTCATTGGTCATTGGTAAAATATTATATGAAAATCAATAGATGTTTTTTCTAAGTTATCAATGATAATATTTTGACTCTGACCTTTCTTAACCAAATACACATTAAATTTATGCTTAGCTTTTTTGGATTACTCATGTACATCATTTAGTATATATTATGTTGACGTGGAACAGAGCAACGAACGAGTAATCTCTTAATCTCAACTTCAGTATCATTTCATATACTCATCCTTTGCAATTTTAGGTTTACATAGATGAATATTTGTTTTTTCGGCTTTTTATAAACAAGTCAACGTGGGCCATTGCAATGGATATGTTACTTGTTGATGTTTATAAAGTGTGTAATTTTCAGGTATGCTTTACTATAATATTTCATTGTCCCGGTAAATATTTAGTTGTCCATTTCAATTTGTTATTATTTATCCACCGTAAATTAATGTAATCAAGCTTCTGGATAATGGTCATGGGATATGAACACTTCAAGCTTTTTTTACGACGCATCAGAATTGCCACAGTATAAAAAGAGATCCCTAACTCCTTCCTGAACAGAACGGAAGAAGCCGAGGAAGCTAAAATTATTCAAACCAGTACATGTTGACATCAGTAACAGGTAAAAATTTGATAATTTTCAAGAAACATTTATAGAAATAGAACCGGTTGACGACTGATACTCAAATTATATTCTGTAGTTTTCTTCGTACCATATTCCGAACATCTACATATTTCATTTCGACTACCAACAATCCTGAAAAATATGAAGTGGATAATCCCTCTCGTTTTCTCGTGTTTTTATTTCGTCGGCGGGACTCCGTACATCCCTGAAAATAAAATTACGGTGGTCATTGCCAACGCTACGCAACAGGAGTGCAATGACAGACCGATCATTTTTACTTGTGACTACTACATGCCTCCACACCTAGGGGGCCCTTGCCTTTCCCGATGCTGGCATAATTCATGGGAAACACGTGACAATTGGTGCAGCATGAATGGACATTGGGAAAGACGTGACAGTTTTAAAGCTCCATGGTTTATGGGGGGGACCTGCTTCTGCTGTGATTGCCGGGGCCCAGAAAGTGAGAGATGTTGATAGGTATAAATAATTATAAGTAAGTGGATAGACGAAGTCTCGTATTTTCGTCTTCCTATTTGTACATAAATTTGTAACTAGCTAAGCAAAAAATTCAATAAGATTGAAAATAATTCGATTCAAATACATACTTAATCGCAAAAAGAGAGTTGATATCCATTACTATAAATTATTTGATAATTATAACAGCTTGTTAGGTTCAGGTGGTGAAGTCAAAATTATTCTACAATAAATAAACAGATTCACAATTTGACGCCCTTGTACAGTAATTCGGTGCTTGACGTATGTATAAAAAGGTTTTCTCGTTAATGCATTACCTGATGTATTTGTATTGATTCTTGTAATAATAATGAATTAAGTGAGCTGGTTGAGTTTAGTTTGTGTGTGTACATAGTTTAGTTTGGTCAAGGATTTTGCATAGGCTGGATTCCGTTGAAAATGGTGTACAAAATTAACCAAAAACTTTTCGTAATGAGGAACACAATTAATTTTGTACCATCCTTTCGTTCATACACATTTCTTTATTACCAAGCGTTCTCAAAATTTGCATACTACACTTTACTCGCCCCATGTTCCATGAAAATAGAAGACAATTCTCTAAAGGTCGTGTCAAACAGGTTTCAAAAGGTGTGCAATAATTTTTGACACTATCAGAGCAGAAAAATTACCAATTATTCATTTTCAACCAAGGTCCTCTGCATAGTCCTCCACATTTACATGATTTACAAACAACTCTCTCAAAATTGGATCATGTTACAGAACGTGGGACACGTTTTAAAAAATCCACCTCTTTTATATCAAATCGCAACAGCGCTATCACCCACTTTGAGCATGTTCGTATTTTTGCATTTATGTTGGACATCACGAAAAGGGCTGGATTTCTTGTACCACTCTTGTTTTAAAGGGGCAGGATATCATACTGGGTACAGCTTTTCGGTAATATTTAACAAATACATACTTCAACAAGTGAGAAATAAGTTAATAATAATTTCTGAAATTTACAGAACATTGCGAAAATGTTTGCACTCTTATCAGTGAGCATGTTGGTAACATTTGGAGGGGAATTGAATTATCCACTATTCAGTGTCTTAAAACGACGAGAGTTTTATGATGAACCTGTCGTTCTTCTACGCTACGTTACAGCAGATATCACAGCTTTGAGGGACATGATGCAAACAGTGATATGTCCAAGTCTCGTATTTCTGTTATTTTTTTACGATTCGATTTTCCGTTTTACAACAATGCTGCATCTTTCTTTCTTGACGTGCTACGTGATAAAACGGATTGGAGACGAGGTACAAGATTATTTAGAAGACGAAAAAAATTCTTTGCCGTGTGAAAAGGTATTAATTTCTGAGTACATGTTTATAAAGGAATATTGATGATGCTGTTTAATGAATGTCCATATTTTCTAAATAGTTCATTGAAATGTACGACATAATAGTACAGCTAATTGGTGACATTAATGAGTCATTGGGGGTCTTGGTGCTGGCAACAATAGTGAACACGCTGTCATTTTTCAGTCAAGCCTTGACGACGGTGCTAGACTCGGAAAAGCAATTGTGGGATCGCCTCTATGTCATTGGAATTGTCAGCTTTTTCGGAATATTTGTAGGATTTGCTGCTCAAGGAGCTGATCGTGTAAGTGTTTTAAACGGATAAAAAAGTGGCTACTTAAAATTCACTTGTTGAAAATCACTTAGCTGGAAAATATTGAAGGATTTGTTTCCCGTAAAAAACAAGATCCCGATTACAATGAGAACAGAGCGTTGCAATTAATGATACCCAACATGACAAATAATCCGCTCGGACTTAAAGCTTTCAAATTCAGGATTTCTTATGGATTTATCGTTTCAGTAAGATTATTAATGTGTGAATAACGTTAATTTTTTAGGTTTACGATCTAATAATAATTTTGTGCAGATTTTCAGTACAGCAGTGACATACTTTATTATACTGCTACAGTTCTCCACGTCCTCAGATAAACAGTAAACCTTATGCGAGCATATATATCCTAAGCACTTGTCAATTAGTGAGAAACTCCAAAATTGGTACTTTTGTATTGTATTTAGATACACCATCAAATCAATCGCATCAATAAATAATGACAAGATAATACGTAGATAATTAATTTTTCATTTGAAATAGGGTCCTCTGGTTACTTGTGGGGGTTGGGATTTAGTTAAAATCAAAGGAGAGTGATAGAAACCTTGATCTGCTGAAGGTTTCATTAAGATCTCAGATTTAATAAAAACAATCCTCATTTGTTGATAACCAACCTACCTGGATTTGATTTTCCATTTTCCATAATGCTTACGTTTTGGCTTAGGATTTTCAATTTTTCTGCCAAAAAAATGTTCAAACCGTTGTACATTTTCTATTGTTGTAACAATGTATAGAAAAGGTACGTACAGCAACATATTTGCGAGATTTTAAAAATTCGCCAATCGAAATCACTCGAATATTAAGCACGTGGCGTATTCGCCAGAGGGCGATTGCAATGAAAGTTTGTAATTTACTTTCAATCTTCCATTATTAAATTGTTTATCCAAAAGTACGCGTAGAAAAGTTATCGATTCAATTCCATTATGTCGACATTGCATCTTCGCCCACTCTGTGAATATTTGCACAACGTAATTGCACATCACCCAGCAAGTATATAGAAATATTATTGGACGCTGGTCTTACATAGTTTTCCATGGAGCATCTCCAGTTTTTTGGGAGAAATTTTTCCGATAGAATAATTCAGGGTACAGCCATGTGAAATCAAATAAATAAGTAAAAGTAATTTCACTGTAAATTAATAATCACATTCTTATCGGTCTCGAATCTATAGTTTCATTGCCTCAAAAATGGTCAGATCTACAGAAAACATTGTAACCAACTCACAAATTCTTACTAATCCACCACAAAATATGCAGAATGTTTTTCTTGGATTGAAATACTTGTGCAAATTTTCCTATTTGACTGGTTCATTTCCGGTGAGAGGTGGTTTTAAAACGGGAAAATTGTTCATGGATTTCACTGCCAAGAAGTTTTCTTGGTCATTTTTCTTTAGGTAAGTAAGTATTTTACATATGACTTAAATACCTAACTGAAATTTAGTCACGTTTTGCCTCTTAATTAATTATGTAGCTGCACCATCGGCGTCTTCATAAAACTTTGTTGTGCCGCATTCGTCCCCGAACCTGTCGCACTGTCGACCAAGGATCGCACCAGATTTAACGAAACTAACAGCACCTCGGTCACCGACCTCCTTACGACGAACGCTGGTTTCATCCTGCTAAATACGTTTGGTATAATCACTCATTTCTTGGTCACCCTCCGGACGGCCAAGTTCCTCAAGGTAGCGACTCTTCTAGAAGAATATGCGACACGCCACCCTACGCCAAAAGCTAAACTGTTTAACTCCTGGACGATCGGGGAGTTATTGTGCAGCCTGTTTTCCTTAACTTACCTGACATTTTGGGCTTACTTTTGTTACAGTGAATTACGAGAAACAGTAGAATTTTTGTCTCTCTTGCTAATTGGTGGCTATCAGCCGGCACCGTGGGGCTATGCGGTCATTTACTTGACGGCACTGATCCTTCTAGAGTACAGCATTTGGTTCGTGCATATGCAAATCTTCTTTCCCACAAATCTCATCTCAGAATTTTTGTCCGACCTGATTCATGAGATTACAGAGAGAAGTAGGAATTACTCAGCGGAACCAACTTTTGAAAGCAACAAAACTATTAAATCAAAATCCAAAGGCAGAATCAAGTCAATCTCGTGGACAATTCTGAACGTAGCTAATGACGACACATTTTGGGTCACGCTAAGTAGCCGTTACATACAAATTGAGAACATCGTATTGGCATTTGAGTCCTTTGTTGGTCCGTGCATTACCATTTCCCTGGCTTTCGCGGTGGGTTCGAGCGTTTGCATGATATATATCGCTACACTTTCCGACCTGGTCTGGTCAAGTAGGATCCTTCGAACTTGTGTAATTCAGGGAACATGTTTCACAGCAGCATTTCGGGTTTTTGCGATTACAAGTGTGGGGGAAATGTTAAAAGAAAAGTATGCACAGTTGAGGAAGGAGATAGCCATTGCGAGGGACAGAAGTTTGTCAAATTTCAGTATTGTTGAACCACGAGAGGTATGTAATTAAAAGTATTTATGAGTTTCAAAGTAATAATAATTCTGCTCTAAAATTTGAATACAAATTGTATCTCGAAAAAATATGTAGTTGGATAATTTCGACCGATTAGTGCATGCTCTTCCATTGAAATTGAATGCTGGAGGATATTTTGTTGTGAGTAGGAGAAATGTTACATCGGTAAGTGTAAAAAATGTTACATTTGGGTTCAAAAAATTTTGCAATCAAATTATTGTGTGAAATTTCAGATCGTTAGCGTGGTTATTACGTATTTTATTGTACTACAGCAGTTCAAGATGTCAGAGAAGTAGAGTGGAATGAAAATTTTACCACACTGAAACAAATCAACAAATACAATCCAAAGTTATTACTAAATCGATACTCAGTAAGGAGTACGTATGTACATACATCTACACATTCCTGCATACGTGACTCTACCAGATTTTTAATAGCGTCACATTACACACAGATTTTATTAACCTAAAAATAAAAATATTTTTTACTAATATTGAGAGGATTATGCTGTTTTACAGTGGCAGCAAGATAACCTTACCCCGCCGAATCTCAAGGCCATGCGCGCACAACGACAGGCTCGATCCCGCACAAATCGCCTAAAAAACAGGGTCTCGTTTTTAGTCACTCTAGTGACCTTAATATTTGACCTTTTGAGGTCAAACTTGGCACACACATTGCCAATCATATTCCCCAGGGTGGTTCTCAAGGATTTTGAGCTAGGTCCCTTGAATGACCTTCCAGAAATTACCAAACTTTTTGCATAATATTTGGTTTTTACACTCTAGTGACCTTAATATTTGACCTTTTGAGGTCAAACTTGGCACACACATTGCCAATCATATTCCCCAGGGTGGTTCTCAAGGATTTTGAGCTAGGTCCCTTGAATGACCTTCCAGAAATTACCAAACTTTTTGCATAATATTTGGTTTTTACACTCTAGTGACCTTAATATTTGACCTTTTGAGGTCAAACTTGGCACACACATTGCCAATCATATTCCCCAGGGTGGTTCTCAAGGATTTTGAGCTAGGTCCCTTGAATGACCTTCCAGAAATTACCAAACTTTTTGCATAATATTTGGTTTTTACACTCTAGTGACCTTAATATTTGACCTTTGAGGTCAAACTTGGCACACACATTGCCAATCATATTCCCCAGGGTGGTTCTCAAGGATTTTGAGCTAGGTCCCTTGAATGACCTTCCAGAA